ACATCTGTTTCTCTGTGCATCCCAAACTCTATCTTCCTGGATTCTAGGCATAAAGAAAGCTAAGTTCTCTTAGTCATTACTGGTTTCTGGAACTTTTCAGACCTGCATCTGACCTGTACAGAGTCAGAAATGAAGTGATGTGTATCTTTTAAAGCTTATTCTCTTGCCATAAGAAACCCAAATTAAAAAACAAACAGGGGTGCCTGGGTGGCTCAGTCGGTTGGGCGACCGACTTTGGCTTGGATCACGATCTCGCGGTCTGTGAGTTCGAGCCCCGCATCGGGCTCTGTGCTGACAGCTCAGAGCCTGGAGCCTGTTTCAGATTCTGTGTCTCCCTCTCTCTCTGACCTTCCCCCATTCATGCTCTGTCTCTCTCTGTCTCTAAAATGAATAAACATTAAAAACAAAAAACAAAAAAAAATGGGCACCTGGGTGGCTCAGTCAGTTAAGGGTCCAACTTCAGCTCAGGACCTGGCCTTGTGGTTTGTGGGTTCAAGCCCCAGGCCAGGTTCTGTGCTGATAGCATCTGGAGCCTTCTTTGGATTCTGTCCCCCGCCTGCCTGCCTGCCTCTCTCTCTCTCTCTCTCTTGCTCTCGCTCTCGCTCTTGCTCTCTCTGCCCCTCCCCCCCACTCATGCTCTCTCAAAAATAAACATCAACCAAAAAAACCCAGGATGGCTATTATCAAAAAAACAAAACAAATTTGGTGTGGATATGAAAAAACTGGAACCCTTGCGCATGTCTCAGGGGAGGAACGTAAAGGGATGCAATCACTGTGAAACGGCCTGGCAGTTCCTTGAAAAGTTAAATGCCATACAATCCAGCAATTCCACTTCTGAGTATATACCCAAAAGAATTGAAAGCAGTGACTCAGATACCTGTACACCCACGTTCATGGCAGCATTGCTCACAAGAGCCAGAAGGTGGAAACCGCCCAGTCCATCAACAGATGAGCAGATAAACAAAATATGGTACGTACATACAACGGAATGTTATTCAGCCTTAAAAAGCAGGTCTCAGAATCTTACTCCTAGGACCTGGATGAACCTTGAAGACCTTAAGGGGAGTGAAATAAACCAGCCACAAAAGGACCACTATCGTACAATTCAAGTTACGTGAGGTACCCAAAGTGGTCAAGTCCACAGAGCTAGAAAGTAGAAGAGTGGTTGCCGGGGGCTGGAAAGGGAGGGAAATTAGAGTTCTCGCTTAATGAGTTCGTGTCTTCAATTCTGGAGATGGATGGTGGTGATGATTGCACAAACGTACTTAATGACACTGCACAGTTAAAAATGGTTAGAATGATAAAGTTTACATTATGTGTATTTTATCACAATTAAGAACCTTTTTTTTAAAATTTTTTTTAATGTTTATTTATTTTTGAGACAGAGACAGAACATGAACGGGGGAGGGTCAGAGAGAGAGGGAGACACAGAATCTGAAACAGGCTCCAGGCTCTGAGCCGTCAGCACAGAGCCCGACGCGGGGCTTGAACTCACAGACCGCGAGATCATGACCTGAGCCGAAGCCGGAGGCTTAACCGACTGAGCCACCCAGGTGCCCCAAGAACCTTTTTAAAAAACCACTTTGGAGAACAATCTGGCAACATTTAGTAAAATTGAAGGTGTGAATACCTTATGACCCCTCCAAAAATGCAGAAGGATTTCAAAAATTGTCATAAATGTATGTATGTGAAAAAATGTTTCAAAGTATGTAATCTAGCAAGGCTACATCTCAAACTTAATGCTGACTTAAAAACAAGTAGCAGAAAGATACCTGCATGTCTGTATGTAAACATATTTTTTATTAAGTTCATGGATATATAAGGTAAAATAATAAAACAGTAGCTACCCTCTGGAGCGGGTGGGGGGAAGTAAATGGGATTGAAGAGAAATGATACACAGGGGTTTCAATTGTGTCCATGATGTCTATTCCTTAACCTGGTCATTATGAATGTTTGTTTTATTCTCTCTCCCTTTTTCTCTTTGTGTTCATTTTGGTGCCTTAAATGTTTACTAAACTCGGGGGCAGGGGGGCACCTGGGTGGCTCAGTCAGTTGAGCATGTGACTCGTGATTTCCGTTCAGGTCATGATTTCCGGGTTCGTGGGATCGAGCCCCACATTGGGCTCTGCACTGACAGTGTGGAGCCTGCTTAGTATTCTCTCTCTCTGCCCCTCCTCCACTCATGCTTGTGCTCTCTTTCTCAAAAAAACAAACAAAAGCCCCAACTCCACATGGGAGCAAAAAATTAAAAAAATGAATACCAAAAGAGCCAAACCATCAAAACGACCAGCCTTCCTTTCCTCCCCACCTTTATAACACACAAAAACCATCATCCTAAATGTAATTTCAACACTACTGCTCTATATCTTTAGATCTTCTCTCACCGTAGCAGAGGCTGTGTCTAAGAGTTTTTTCCTTCTCGATGACTGGTGCTTAGGTCACGTTAGGCATTTAGTTATTAGTAGACGATGGTGACGTCAGGCAGTGCAGCCTGAGAGGAACATGACCACTTCACCTGTTGCCTTGGGGAATAATTCCGCCCCTGCCCACACATAGCTGCATAGCCTGTGCTATGGGTACCTCGTCATTAGGTCGACACATTTTCTCCCAGCTCTTCAAACCAAAAATATGTATGAAGAATTCTACTGACTTGTGTTGAAGAGAAAGCGGTCTAAACTCAAGGCTAGCAGATGTGGAGGTTCAAGCAGGCTGTCGGTTTTCTAAGTATGCCGTCCAAATGATTCCTGATGTTGTGTAACAGGAGATTCACTTCTCCAGCGGTAACAATGAGCCCGTTGAGAGCGCGGCCCTGGCACACGCATACATGGCCCTTGGTCTGCCAGAGCAAAATCTTAGTTAACCCACAGGCAGACGTAGGTGGGTCGAGAAACCCAAACATCAGTCAACCAAGAGGAGGAAACTGAGCAAGTCCACCCACACATTAAGTTGACAGGTTTGACCCCGATGTAAGGATTTTCTGATGTTCCTGGTCTTCTTTCAACCACTTTTAAGAGCAGCAAGGAGTTTTTAGAGCCGCGGAAAACGAGATATTTGTATGGTTTGCCCTTTTGGCAAAGGAAATGGTTTTTGACTCCAACAGGTCTGTGACGGAAAACAGGGTTGAGAAGAGCTCTATAACGAGTGAGGCAAGGTGCTGAGAGGTCAACATTGCAGCTGAGCATTTTAGTGGTCAGAGTATACAGAGCAACCTTCAGAACCAGGCGTGTTCTTGACTGAGTCACTTCATCCCTCTATATTCTGGAGTGCTCTGACCCCTAACCTTATTAAGGGGACTGTGAGAAATTTCTGGATAACCTCTTAAGCCTCACGGGTAAGTAGAATTTCCTGGAAATCTAGTGACTATTCCTAATTTGGCAGGTCTAGGAAAAACACTGAGCTAGTACTCTGACCATCAATTTGACTTTTGACATCCCCTTCCTCTTTATTGTGGACTTTCCTCCTCAAGGCCACCGTTTGGGACCAAGTATAGTAAGTTTAAAAGAAGAAAACTATTGTGCGCTCCTTCCAAACTCCATAAAACGTTTTGCTTACAGATATTATGAAATACTTGTAACTTTTCTGCAGGTGTGTGCCCTTAGTCACAAGGGGCTGGAAGGAGAGTGAGAACAGGGTCAGGGTCAGTGGAACCCAGCCTAACGTATGGGTGGACAATTCAGACCTTCTGTTCCACGGATGTTGAGGCAGAAGCATCATCTTCATACACAAAGCTCGTCAGTCGGCCAATAAGCATTCAGTGAATGCCTCGACTGTGTTCGGTACTGAGTTATGTACAAGGTCAATGTGGTATGATGCCAGCCTCCCGAATGCCAGACTGGGAGCCAGGAGACCTGCCAATCACTCGATTTGGCGGGGAAAAAACCAAAATTTCCTCCTCCCAGGTCTCCTCCTCAGTTTCTTTATGTGTAAAACTAGGCTGTGGTAGTTAACCTCAGCCCTTGGAAGAAATCTAACTAGAACGGTTGCAGATTCCAAAGCAGGATGAGTTCACAGGTTCCTGGATCTCGAGAGACTTCTAGATACCGGGGGCAACTGAATAATTGCACCCCAAATCATGTTTCTGAAAGAGCACAGTGTGGCTCACCTGGAGGCCTAGGTAACTTCCTCGGAGTTGGTGCAAAGGGGTCCTATGCATGGTCTCTGCTCGTGATGCTCTGGCCATCCTCGCAGAATGCTCTGCCCATTTCATGAGTGTCCCAAGCTAGTCCTGACTCCGGGACTCTGCACATGCTTGTTTGGCTGCCTTGGGCTTCCTAGAGGAATGGTGGTTGGTTCCTCCTTTCTTGTCCTTTGGATCTCTTTAGCTCTCCCCTTCTCTGAGGGGGCCGTGTTTTACACTTTCCAAAGGTGGTCTCTAATTTCAGCACCCATTTCCTTCTTTGTGCTCTCCCAGGTTGTAGCCCTTTTACTTGTTTCTTGGTTGCTTCCCCTGTCAGTCCGTTAGCTCCCCTAGCTAGGGGGTCCTTTTGGTTTTGTTCAGGACTGTAGGCCCAATGTTTGGTCCACAAAGCAGGTCTCAATATTTGTTAAACGAATGCCTTGGCAGCTCTACAATTCCGAGGCGCCCAAGGCATCTAAAGTTGTTTCCCCGTAAATACCCTTCTTTGGAATTCCCCGGGCCAGGCTGGGCTTAGGCTGCAGTAACTTCACTGCCTGCTTTCTTTGGATCTCCACATTTCTTTTCCTTGAGGAAAAAGGCTGTTATGACCTCACAACACATGCTCCGGTGCCGCAGTGACCTCATTGCTGCTGCTTGTCGCGTCACAAGTCCATCCGCAGCACCTTTCCTTTTCCCTACCAGCCCCTACCTTTCCCGGAGGCAGCGCCTCCACGCGTCTGGCCCCCGGGCCCAGCCCGCTACGTCACGTCCGCCCGCCCGCGCGGCGATGACGTCATGCACCAGGGCTGGCGTCACGTGCCCCCCCACTCCGGGGGGCGGGCTTTGAGGGCGGCGCTTCCGGTCGGCGGAGCCTGGCGGGCAGAGCGGCGGCGGTGGCTGAAACGCGGGGATGGCGGGCGCCGGGAGCGAATCCCGGTTCGCCGGGCTGTCGCTGGTGCAGCTCAACGAGCTGCTGGAGGACGAGGGACAGCTGACGGAAATGGTGCAGAAGATGGAGGAGGTGGGCCGAGCGGGGGCGCGCGGTGGCGGCGGGGCCTCGAGAGGGGCGCGCGGGGCCGGGGGCCCTCGGCGGGCTGGAGGTGGCCCGAGGCGCCGGCGATCGCGGTGCCTCTAGCTG